AAATCAAGTAAAAACTAAAAGAAGCACAAAATATTTCGTAAATCTAGATAAGAGACTAACTAAAAAGCTAAAAAAAAAAGGTTCATAGTATGATCTAACGTATATACTGCATACGGTAAAGTATGTACATCATGATAATTATTGTATTTTATATTCAAAATAAGTCAACAAATTATAGTAAATTCAGTAATCTGGAAAATGTTCAATAAACTTGTTGATTATTATTTAATCAGCTCAGAAAATCGACCATCGATTGTGGTTTTTAGAATTGAACCCCATCCCTATTTATGAACTTTTTTGCTGTGTTTAATTTCAGGTCGTAATTATTAGTGAATCAAATTCTCTAGAAAGAATGGCAATTTTTATAATGAGAGAGCAAGTAATAGTTATATCTTGGCAATTGAATATAAGAAGAATATAAGAAAATACAATGTATTTGATGTGTCGGCAGCTCTAGCAACCGATACTTTTTAGTAAAATATTTATGACATGATCGTACACGGGTTTTTAATTTTCCCAACTTCGCTATTGGAAGTATCATAAAATTGATTAATAAGGTAGATGCTCCGATATATGAATAATTAGTAGAACCAATCAGAGTGGTAGGATTGGTAGGAAAAATTAGTAAACCCATCGTACCTTACGTAAATAAGTTAGCGGTATGGATGTAAATCATTATCGTTATGTTATAACAAGGATGTAGATCATTATTTCGGTATATTAGGATACCTTTCTTCTGATTGGTCAATCACTTTCAATTGTATTTATACAGTTTAAGGGTAGATCATTTTCATATGATCTACATGGTACTTTTTACACCAAAATTTTGCAATATGTAATTTAGGTCTTTTCTTTATAGCAGCAAAAATTTTGAATACTGTTTTTTTAAAAAAATTCAACTTCGTATATTTATAAAAAATCTTAGGCGAACCCAATTCTGATTTATATATTTCCAAAATTTTGCCTTTAAAATAAGTATTAAAGTATTAATTTTTACAAGTAAATTACACAATTTGTAATAATGAAAATTGTTATTCTTTATATAAACTATAAAATTGTATTAAAAACAAGTTTAAATCAATATTTAAAAAATTTATCAAGAAGTTTTAAAATATTTTTTTATTAAAAATATTTTTAAATTGTGTATTTTAGACTTATAATTAACTACAATTTTTTTATAATTTAAATACAAATACTACAAAAATATAATCCTTATATTCAAATATTATCATATTAAATTTTATTTAAATATTTTAAATATTTAAAAAAGTAAATCAAAAATATATTTATAGTATAATTGCAGGCAAAATTGCTTACTATTCAAGGGATAAAAATGAAATAAAAATGAAAATAAAATGAAAAGAAAAATAAAAAAATAGAGAATTTTATAACTTAACAATCAACACTAATTATAACATTTATTAAAAATATCTTCACCAAGTTTTTCTTTAATAAACCTTTCTGAAAAATCCCACAATTTTTTTGCCAATTCTTCGTCTTTAGCTGGAGCGCTAGGTTTCCCTAATTCACCAAATGGTACAAAATATTTTCCACGATAATTTTTTTCTTCGATTTCGGGGCTTGTAGCGCAATAAAGTTGTGTTAATGCGCCATCATCAGGTGTTAACATGAAATGTCTTCCTATAGAAACAAGAGGTTTTGTCCAAGATCCAAGACTAGAAACAAAGCTACCATATAAATCTGTCTTTATAACACCTTATTTGATATAAATGTTAAGTAAAGTATAACTTAGAATAATTTGCTATAGTAATACTATAATTTTAATTATTATTATTATTATTATTACCTGGATGAAGAGTGTTACAATAAACATTTGTTCCAGCAAGTTTTTTATCAAGTTCAGTAGTAAATAAAACGTTGGCAAGTTTTGACTGATAATATCTTTCAAAAGGAGTATAAGCATTCGGATCATTCAACTTGTCAAAATCTATTCCTTTTGCTCGATCATGAACAAGACTATAATTATAATAAAGATAATAAATATCATAAATTTAAATTTTTTAATATGGGAGGAAGTTAGACTAACCTGCTAACATTGACAATACGTGACGGAGCCGAAGCTTTAATAGTTGGTAATAGTAAAATTGTGAAGAGCTATGGTGTAATTTATAAAATACGTGTTATGATAACATCTTTCAAATATAAGTTTAGTTAAAAGATTTTCATACTTACAAAATGGCCAATATGATTGACTCCAAATTGGTCTTGAATACCATCTTCAGTTGTCTCAAATGGGCTTTTGTATGAATGTAAAATTAGGATATACATTCACATCATAAACTGACTGCACATGAAAAAAAACTTACGTTACCATAATACCCGCATTATTAACTCTAAGAATAAAGTAAATTTATTAAGTTCAAAGATCAATATTAAACATTCTACCTATAACATTTTGTTAAACACTCACAGAATATGTAATGGTAAATTTCTGGCCAAAAATGTTTCGGCAGCATGTTTAACAGAATTTAAATTTTGCAGATTCAATTGTAAAAATTCAATTGCATTATTTTTTGTTTCTTTTTTTATTTGTTCTACTGCTGATTCACCTTTCTCTTTATTACGACTTGCAATGAATACATGTGCATTTTTACGGGCTAATTCTCTTACAGTTATGAATCCTATACCATTATTTCCTCCCGTTACTATTGCAACCTGAATAAAAAGTTAAGCATGAAATATTATATTAACTTTAAATAATAAAAACTATATTAAATTACCTTGCCAGAAAGATCAGGGATATTGTTGAAAACAAAATGCTTTTTATTAAACATTTTTAAATTCTCACGAATTTAGAAATTTAAGTATTGAACACGAATTTAGAAATTTAAAGTATTGAAAGAGCTATTAGAAAGTTGTGCGAAACACACTATCTTTTATATTAAAAAATCATTCGGGATTCTTTACCGAACTTCCGCAATAAAAATCATGCATCGGCATTCAAAAATTATAATTTAGCGGAAATAAACAGGGTTCAGGTCAATTTACCCAGGTACAATAAAATTTTGGGCATTACTTGTTACTTTCTGGGGTACGTACATACATACAACGTACGTACTATACGTATATATATTATCATTACGTAAACAATTGCTAATTTCACACCATCTTCTACTAAACATACTTACGAATAATGGAAACTGCAGGAAAAACGGTAATACATCCGATTTAGAGGTTGGAACCGGTTTTAATAATTCGAGTTTATCACGTGAATTTTGTGATATTTTAGAATTTAATCCAATTAA